CGGTGTGTTTTTCAAGCTGATGGGGCTGAGAGGCAACCTTTGGTCAGCCATGTGGGATCTGACTCCCTTAACCATCAGGCCATGGGACAGGCCCAGCTCAACTTTATCAGAAACCCCCCAACTTTTTCCCCAGAATGACTATGCCATTGCTCTACCAGCAATGTGTGAGAGTCCTAATTGCTCCGTAGTCTCACCAGCATTTGCTAGTTTTTCTCTTGTGCTGCCTTTTTTTTTTAAAAGCCATTCTAATAGATAAGTAGTGATATTTTATTGTGATTTTTATTTACATTTTGCTAATGGCTAATGATGCTTAGTGCCTTTTCATGTGGTTAAGGGTCTTCCACATTTTTGGTGAAAAATGTTCAAGTCTTTGCACATTTGTGAGTTTTTTATTTTTAAGAATTATTTAATTTAACTTTATTTTAGTTTGACCAGAGAGGAACAGAGTGACACAGAGAGAGAAGGAAGTGAGAAAGCAAGCTGCCAGGTCCGGGACTTGAACCACGGACGGCCATGTGGGAGTCCAGTGCCCATAACCACCTGCCAGCCTGTGTTGTATTTTAAGTTCTTTCTATATTGTGCTTTCAAGTCCTTTGTTGTATATGGGACTTGAAAAGACAATTGAGTCTACACTTCCTGTTATTCCACCTAACAGTGTCTTTAGCTCTTAGAACATATTTAAAATAGCTGATTTAAAGTCTAGTAAATCCAGTGTCTGGACTTCCTCCAGAATAATTTGTGTGGATTGCTTTTTTCCTGTGTATAGACAGTGTTTCTTGTTTCTTTGTATACCTTGTAATTTTTTGTTAAAAACTGGACATTTTGAATATTATAAAATAGCAACTCTGGGAATCAGATTCTTCTCTCTCCTGTGGGCTTGTTATTTTTGCTTATTAGAATTATTGTTGCTCGGTTAGTGACTTTTTCTGAACTAATTTTGTCAAATCCATGTTCTTTGTCCTACATGACACTAAAGTTTCAGACACACTAGCTTGTTGGTCAGCTAAGTGATTGGACAGTTTTCCTTACGTGCCTAGAACCAGAGGAAAGCTGAGGCAGGAGGATTGCAAATTCAAGGCCAGCCTGGACAGCATAGTGAGGTGTTGTCTCTCTCTCTCTTTTTAAAAGCCTAAAACCAGAAAGAACCTCTGTTTTTTTTTTTTTAATAATTATTTTATTTTATTTTATTATTATTTAATTTGACCAGAAAGAGAGGAGAATGAGAAAGCAACCACAATCCAGGACTTAAACTGTGAGCCATGGGGGAGACCAGCACTTTAACCACACCACCTGCAGCTCCAGAACCTCTCATACTTTTAAATTATTTTTTACTTCTTAGTTTTTTGTGTCTCCCCCCCCCCCCACTTTAGAACATGGGCACTTGCCAGAGAGAGAGAGAGATTCTAGCGCCTTAATTAACCACTGCCACCTACTGGGCCCAGAACCTCCCGATTTCTGGGAACAGGTTCTGTTGCGCAAATTGTGGCACACCTTCCATACTCAGTCTGAAAGCCTTCACTTTCTTGTGCATAGCCTGAACATCAGAGTGTGAACTTAGGGCCTTCTTGGATCTTTCTGGAACACGTGCCCACCCTGGTGCTACAGTTGGCCTTCTAGATCCCTAGGAATACGTGGGAGCTTCTCAAAGCCCTTGCTCCCTAACTGTCTCTTCTCCAGCCTTTCTTCCTGTCTTCTGGTTAGGCTGTTGTTGGCCCCACCAGTTACCCTCACATTCACCCTTGCCTACAGATATTCTCAGCACACGCCCTCCAGATAACCATTGCTGCTTTGATGAAGACCCAAGTGAGGAAATACAGCCAGACTTTGGGGCTGGTCTTCCAGGGAGCCACCAGTCAAAACAATGACCATTATTTGCAGATGGGGCGGCTTGGTTCTGCCCCCTCTCTTACTGATACTGTTCCCAGGAGTGCAGGCTGGCATTTTCAAAACTGCTACTTAGCTGGGGAATGAGGGAAGGGCCAGGATAAGTTTAAATGTCACAAAACTTGCTATTCTAACCAAAATCCAACTCGGTTTTTTAGAAGTATTTCACTACTTACTGCAAACTTTTGTTTAGTTCCTAGAGTTCTGAAACGTTGATTCAATCATTTTCTACCAGTTTTTTTAAAATTGTTTTCTTGTTTTTCACTTTTCCTGAGGGCACATGTATGTGCCAGAGAGAGACAGAGCTCTGAGAAAGCACGCACCGTGGGGAATGGTCATGCCCCAATCTCTTCTCTATTTCTTCCTCCTTTCATGATTTTGGACATGCACACATATGCTCCTGGCATGTTTTTCAAGCCACCAGGGCTGGGACTTGAACCATGTAGTTGGCCATGTGGGATGCAGCTGCCTTAACCACCAGGCCACTGGCTGACCCTTTGTTACTTTTATAGATGGACTTTTGGAGTTCCTTACTCTGCCATTTTGGCTGTTGTCGCTCGATATGTCAAATAGGACTTAAAAAATTTTTTGTTTTGAGAGATTTTTGTTATAGGGCACTTGCACTCTCCAGAGACGGAGAGACTAGATTCTACACACATCCGTTCTCCTCATGCTCACTCAGCCTCCTAGTAGTTGGCTGGGAGACTGATCTGATCTGATTCTTTGACATTGTGAAGGATTCAGACCCAGGGTCCAGGCTCACTGCCTGATTTTGTAAATAAAGTTTTATTGGAACATGGCCATGCCCATTCATCTACATTGTCAGTTGCTGCTTTTGTCCGGAATTTGCAGAGCTGAGTAGTTGCAACAGGGACCATGTGGTGAGAATGTTTACTGTCTAGCCTTTTACAGAAAAAGGCTGCTGGCTCCAGACTATCGAGTTTCCTCTTGAGTTCCAAGTTCTTCTTTTGTAGTTCTGAGAGACTCCAGCCTCCTCTTCATCAGGTTGCGTTTTTAGCACATCACCAGAAAAATGCTACTAGAAGAAAGAAAACGATCCTACCTTACTATTTGTTAGACACCTGGACCTGTCATGTCTTGTTTTTAAGGATGTGGTTACAGCCTCTAGCTCAGGTTCTTAGAATAATTACATTCAACTGGAGAGCCTAGCTCAGCTTTTCCTGTGGCATTCGTTCTGGGAGCCTGGCTGAAGGAGCAGTCCCTGTCTGAGAAAGAGAGCAATGGGCAGACCACGTGCCAGCATCTAAACCTTCGGCTCCGAAGTGTCATCTGGCACTTCTACTCGGTTTCCGTGGCTAGCTTGACACTAATGGCCCAGGAAGTATCATTCTTTTGCAGGAGGCCCTGTAAGTTACCTGGCACCTGGGGTGAATGGGTAATCCTTTTTACACAGAGGGCAATGAGTCATTTGGGAACAACATCTAGAACCTCCGTAAAGGTTTGCTCATTTGAGCAGACTGAAACTCGTGCCCAAAACTCGGTTTTAGAATCCTGTGTGTGTGTGACTTTTCATAAACTCCCTGTAACTAAAAAGTAACTGGAAGTCGGCTTAGTGAGATTCTGGAATATATTTTAGTTCTCTCAACTTACTTACTTAATGTATCAATAGAATGCAACTTCAAACTTGTATTTTGTAGTCTCGATGTCCTTAATTTATATCGCTCACCTCTAGCTAAACCATTTTGCCTCTAAGGTTTCATATTTCACTGAGCGAAATTACATCACTCAAGTCGCTCAATCCAGAAACTGGGTGAAGTCCTTAACTTCCTCCTCCACGATTACCTCTGTGTAATAGTCAGCTACTGGGCCAGCAGGAGGGCGTGGTGGGTAAGGTGAATCCCCATAGGGCCGCCTGTAGTTCGAGCCTGGACCTGCAGTCTGAACATGATGCTGGGTGTGTGTGCACGTGTGCCCAACATCCCGAGGAAAATGGAGATTGGATTGCAAAGCGGTCATCGCCCCAGGGGGGAAAGTGATTTCTCCCTTTCCCTCTCACCGTCTTTATTTATTTATTTATTTTTTAGGAATTATTTATTTAACTCATTTGTTGTTGTTATTTTTATTTTTATTTGACCAGACAGAGATACACCCAGAGAGAAAGGGAAAGGAAGAAAGCAAGCCACCAGGTCTGGAACCTGAGCTACAGTCAGCCATGTGAGAATCCAGTGCCTTTAACCACCATGCCACCTGTTGACCCCTCTCTCTCACTGTCCTTTTTTAGTTTTATTTTGTTTTTGAGAGGATTTTGGTATAGGGCACATGTGCTTGCCAGAAAGACAGAGAGACAGAAAGTGAGAAATCACCCCCCAGGGGAGATGGTCACGCCGCAATCCCTTCTCCTCCATTCTCCTCTTAGGATCTTGGGCATGCACGCACACACGCCCGGCATGAGTTTAAGCCACCAGGTCCGGGACTCGAACCACGATCAACTACATGGGAGTCCAGTGACATAGCCATTACGCCAACTGCTGATCCCTCTGTTAAGTACATTTTTTTAAAGAAAAGAATGCTGATTGTCTTTCAGCAGCTTTTATTTGTTAAAAATCCCACCTTAATGAAAATTTCCTCAAGGTGTGAAAATGTAGTTTGAAGCATATTAAAATCAGATATTCTTGTGAAAAAAAAACCAGACATCCCAAGGAATTCAGTATCCTGCAAATTATTTTGCAAAATGAAATATTTTAAAGCATACGTGTTTTAACAAGTAAGAGCTTCAGGAAATGCAGAACTGACCCATATGTATGCATGTCTCAGGAGATTCCTGGGTACAGGAGGAGAGAAGTACAAGAATGGAAGCCCAGAGTCGTGGAGGCAGTGAGAAACAGACTGGGGAGGAAGGCCGAGATGTAGCCCAGGCATGCAGTAGGGCTCCTTGAGGACCTCCCCTTTTGCCGGCACCCAACTGCCTCTCCAGTAGCTTTTTAATTTGTCTATGAATACTTATTCACGGAGGCATTCCTCCTGCCTTGTAAGAGACATTGTTCAGGGACAAAGGATACCATGCACAGAACTGGCAGCTTTATTTTTAGCTATTCATATTCCAGCCACTAAAGCATACTTCCAGCAGGAGCCTTAGAACAAAAACATTTGAAATGATTAATAAAGTCATCCAGGATTCCCAGTGACCCTCCGGTAAGTTCTCTGGCCCTGGGGTTTATTTATTGTGCACGTTCTCCTGGCCCTGTTCTCAGCCGTGGCTTCTGTTTCACGGCCTTCTCTCCTGGTCCAGTGTGAGCCCCAGAGGCACAGAAGGGCCCCAGGAGAGCCACAGAGAGTAAGAAGTGCATCCACGAAAACCGATGGTTGGCACCCACGACCTCAGCCCTTGAGATAATGGTCCAAATCCATTTGTGGTAGTAGGGCACACTGACATAGATTCCAGGAAGCCGGCCGCATTCTTCTCCTCTGCTCACCACTCCGATCTGGACCCAGACACCATCAATATGGCACGACAGAGGTCCTCCAGAATCGCCCTGGGGAAGGGGTAAAGGTCATGAGTGTAGTGAAAAGGAGTGTGAAGCAGAACAGAGTCAAGAGGGGTGGAGCATTCTTCAGAACTGGACCTTTGGACCCATGGAGCTCCCTCTGGAGAGAGGTGGACTTCCCGCTGGGAAGGGAAGGAGGGGGAGGGGGTGGAGGAGGAAAGGGAGGAGGGAGAGGGGGGGGGAGGAAAGGGAGGAGAGGGAGGGGGAGAGGGAGGTGGTGTTAGGAGAGAATGGAGTTAGGAATTTCAGAATCATAACATTGACATTGACAGGGACCTTAACAAAATATATCAGTAACTTCAAAATATGTACTCTGATAAAGAGAACTTTTTCTTAACCTTAATCATGGTAGCCTAGTGGAAAAGGGAGTCACATTCCACATGACTTGACTATGGGGTTCAAATCCTGGCCCCAATAGCTTAAAAAGCATGATAGGCCCAAGTGCCTGTGTGTCCAAAATCTCAACAAGGTAAAGAAATAGAGGTGAAGGGATGGCGACATGACCATACCTCATTGGGGGCTTTCTCTCTTTCACTGGCTCTCCCCTGTCTCTGGCAAGCATATATGCCCTCTGGCAATTAAACAATTAAATAAAAAATATGATTAATAGGAGTTTCTCACTCATTATGTATATTTGATTGAGTGAACTACCCTTTATTAATAATTATTTATATTTTTACATTTATTATTATTTGGAGAGGTTTTTGCTATAGGGCATGTGTGCTCACCAGAAAGACAGAGACAGAAAGACAGAAGTCCCCCCCACGGAGGATGGCCACACCCGAATCCCTTCTCCTCCATTTTCCTCTCGGGATCTTGGGCACGCACGCACACGCGCCCGGCGTGAGTTTAAGCCACCAGGTCCAGGACTCGAACCGTGGTCAATTACATGGGAGTCCAGTGACATAGCCATTATGCCATCTGCTGGTCCCTAATTTATTATTATTTTTTAATTGCTAGAGGGCACATACTTGCACCAGAGAGAAACAGAGAAAGTAAGCAAGCCAGCAGGCCTCAGCCACGTGAGAGTCCAGGGCCTTCATAGCCACACTACCGGCCAGCCCCAAACCACACTTACTGTTTGTTCCTAGATCCTTACTGCCTTTTTTAAGTGTTAATTTTTTTCTTGTATAAAATTCTAGTGATAGTAGTTGGTAATGTGTTCCTTAGTCTCTGTGGTTTTTTTTTTGGTAACAGCTTTATGGAGATATAATTCACCGTAGTCTTCACCTATTTAAAGTATACAGTTCCATGTTTTAGGGTATTTACAGAGTCAAGCAACCATCACCACAACCATGGTTCTTATCACCCCGTAAAAGAAACCACATACCCCTTATTTCTTCCCAACCATTCTGGCCCTGGGCCAACTGGGAATTTACTTTCTGCCTTTATGGATTTACCAGTTGGGGCATTTCACACACTAGGCGGCCTTCTGTATCTGGTCTGTTTCCTTTAGCATCCTCTCTCCTCGATTCATCCACGCGGTAGCATAGATCTGCATTCCTGTTTATGGGTGGGCAGTCTTCCTTCCGTGGATGTACCACATTTGTTTATCCACTAATCAGCTGATGGACGTTGGTTATTTCTGCTTTTGGCCGTACAGGGTGCTGCCCTGAACGTTTGTATGCAAAATTTGATATATACTTGTTTGTATTTCTCCTGAGCATAGGCCCGGGTTGTATGGTGACTGTGTTTAACGTTTTGGGGAAGTGTCAGGCAGTTTTCCAAAGAAGCTGTACCATTTTTACATTCCTAGCAACTGTGTATAAAGGTTGCAGTTTCTCCACATCATTGTCGTTCTCGTTCTCTGTTTGGATTCTAGCCCTCTCATGAGTGGGTATTGCTGCCTCATGGTTTTGATTCGCATTTCTCTGCTTCCTCTTGATGCTAAACATTTTCTTAGGAGCTTATTGGCCATCGGTGTATCTTCTTACAGGAAAACATCTACTGGGTTTTTTGCCCTTTTAAAAATGGTCTTGTCTTTTTATTATCAGGTTACAAGTGTTCTTTATATATTCTAGGCATAGAACCTTTCATGATTAAAAACAAAAAAGTTCCATGATGTTTTAAGTTACTATAACTTTGTAGGGTATTTTAAAGCAGGTCGTCTGACACCTCTACCTTTGTTCTGTCCTTTCCTTTTTTCTTTTCTTTTTTCTTTTTCTTTTTTTTTTTTTTTTTTTTTTTTTCTTTTGGGCAACCCCACCTCTCAAGCACACTCTCCAGAGAGAAAAAGTGAGAAATCACCCCCCCACACACACCAAGGAGGATGACCACACTGCAGTCTCTTCTCTACTGTCCTCTCTGGTTTTGGGCATGCATACACTTGTGCCTGGCATTTTTTCAAGCTGCTGGGTCTGGGACTCAAACCATTGCCCATGTGGGATCCAGCTGCCTTAATCACCATGCCACCTGGCTGGCCCCAGCTTTGTTCTTTCTATTCCAGATTGCTTTGACATTTGGGGTCTTACATTTGGGTTCAATACAAATTTCAGGCTTTTTTTTCTATGAAAAATAAAAATAGTATATATTTTTTCTTTTTTGTAACTTTTGTGGCAGGGTATATATGTTGGAAATATAGAGAGAGAAAGTGAGAAAGCAGCCCCTCATAGCCCCCAGGGAATGGCTACACAGCAATCCCTTCTCCTCCATTCTGCTCTTAGGATTTGCACATGTACACCCAATTCCCCCCCCTGCCCAAGTGTGTGTCTCAAGCCACCAAGTCTGGAACTCAAACTGCACAGCCAGCCGCATGGGCTCCAGCCACCTAAACCGTTAAGCCACTGGCTGGGCTGTCATTGGTATTTTGGTAGAGATTGTATTGAATCTGTAGATCGTTTTGGGTAGTTGGACGTTTTAGCAATATTCCCTCTCGTTCATGAACATGGTATATTTTTTTTCATTTATTTGTGTCCTTTTCAATTTCTTTCACAAATTGTTTTTTTTCCGTTTTGTTTGTGGAGATCTTTTACCTCCTTAGTTAAATTTCTTTATAAGTATTATAAATGAGATTTTCTTAATTGTTTTTCAGACAGTTCACGGTTAGAGTTTAGAAATGCTGTTGATGTTTGTATGTTGACTTTCTATCCTACTGCTTTACTGAATTCATCGGTTAGCCTTTTGGTGGAATCTTAGCGCTTTCTCTATGTATTATGTCATCTGTAAACAGGGACAGTCTGACTTCCTCCTTCCCAATTTTGATGCTCTTCATTTCTGTCTCTTGCGTTATGTTGAATAACAGGGGTGTACACATGGCTGTCTTTCTCTTGTTCCAGATCTTAGAGGAAAACCTTTCAACTTCTCCCTGTTCAGTATGATGTTAGTTGTGGGTTTGCCATATATGATCTTTACTATATAATGTGTGTTCTTTCTACACCTAATTTGTTGAGAGATTTTATCATAATGTGATGTTGAATCTCATTAGATGGTTTTTCTGTGTCTGTTGAAATGAACGTATGGTTTTTGTCCTTGATTCTGCTAATATGATGTGTTTTATTGATAGATTTGTGTATGTTGAGCTGTCCTTGCAACCTTGGGATAAATCCCACCTGATCATTGTGAATGATCTTTTTAATTTATGACTTTTTAAATGCAGTATCGAATTCAATTTTGTATTATTTTTTGAGGATTTTTACATTCTTGTTTATGGATATTGGCCTGCAGTTTTCTTTTTTTAGTTAAGTCCTTATCTGAGTTTCCGAATCAAGACACTGGCCCTTGTAGGATGAACTTGGAAGGATTCCCTCACTTCAGTGGTTTTATTTTTTTTGTAGAATAGTTTAGGAAGAATTGGTATTAGTTCTTTAAATGTTTAGTAGAATTCAGCAATGAAACCATCTTGTCCTGAGTTTTCTTTTATGGGAGATTTTAGTTGATTGAGTCTTATTCCTAGTTACTGGTCTGTTCAATTTTTTTTATTTCTTTTTCATTAGGTCTTGATAGGTTATATGTCCAAGAATTTGCCTATTTCTTCTACGTTTTCCAATTTGTTAACATATAAATGTTAGTAGTAATCTCTTATTTGTTTCTGTAGTATAAGTTGTAATTTGTTCTTTTTCATCTCTGATTTTATTTGAATTGTCTTTTTTTTCCCTTCGTCTAGGTAAAAGCTGGCTGATTTTTGCTTCTTTTCAAGAATAATTCTTAGTTTCATTGAACTTTTGTGGGGTTTTTTTAGTATCTATTTCATTTATTTCTGTTCAGATCTTTATTATTTCTTTTTTTCCACTCATTTCTAACTTAGTTGTTTCATGTTTTTTAGCTCCTTGAAATATGACATTAGTTGGCACCAGCAGTTGGCGTAATGGCCATGTCGCTGGACTACCATGTGGTTGACTGTGCTGTGAGTCCCAGAGCCGGTGGCTTAAACTCACGCTGGGTGCGTGTGCATGCGTGCCCAGGATCCCGAGAGGAGAATGGAGGAGAAGGGATCGCGGCGTGGCCATCCCCCCTGGGGGGTGATTTCTCACTTTCTGCCTTTTGTGTGTCTCTGTCTTTCTGGCGAGCGCACATGCCCTATAGCAAAAACCTCTCCAAAAAAGGAAAAAAAAATTAAAAACATAAAAAAATAACATTAGCTTGTTTATTTGAGATCTTTCTATTTTTATCAAAGTAGATGTTTATTGCTTTTTAAACTTCCTCTCTCAACCTGCTTTTGGTATGTCCCATAGTTTTTTTTTAAGAATTATTTATTTTTATTTTTGGTTATTATTATTATTAAATTTACTAGAGGGCATGTGCTCTCACCAGAGAGAGAGAAAGAGAGAGAGAGGAAAAGTGAGCAAACAAGCCAACAGGTCCAGGACTCGACTGCAGATGGCCATGTGGGAGTTCAGCCCCTTAATCAGCATGCCACCTGCTGGCCCTGTCCCACAGATTTTGGTATGTTGTGTTTCGTTTTTACTTGTCTCAAGAAACATATAAATTGCTTTTTAAATTTCTTGATTGACTCAATGCTTGTTCAGGAACATATTGTTTAATTTTCATGTGTGTTATATAATTTGTGGATGAAACATGATCTATGCTGGAGAATGCTTCATGTGCCTTGGAGAAGAATGTACATTCAACTGTTGGGTGTGATGTTCCATAAATGTCTCAATCCATTCAGTTTAGACTGTAGTTTAAATCTGCAGTTTCTTTGTTGATTTTCTGTCTAGATGGACTGTGCATTGTTGAAAGTATAGCGGTGAAGTCCTCAGCTATTATTGCCGACTCCCTCATGGTTTATTAATATTTTATTATATCGACTCATATGCATGCTTACGTGTGCACACACATACACTATACACCTCTTCACAGAGGGGGAGACAGGCACCACCAACAGGATCTTCATACCATAAGTCTTCCAGCCCTTTGTCATGTTCTATCCCTGTTGAATTCCAGGAATATTAAAATTTGCTCTTTTGATGCTATCCTTTAGATCCCATACACTTTTTTCATTCATTTTTCTTTTTTCTCTTCTGTGTATTTTCAGGTGTCCTATCTTTGAGTTTTCGTATTCTGCTTCTACTGTTGGTGCTCTTGGATATATCTTCTAATTTGTCCGCTATATTTTTTAGCTCTAAGATTTCTGTCTTCTGTTTTACCTTTTTTGAAATTGCCTGTTGGCACATGCATTCACCAGAGAGAGAAAAGGAGGAGGAAAGGGGGTGGGGAGGGGAATGAGGGGAGGAGAGAGGAAACACTCCCAACGGGGAATACTCACAGCGCAATCTTCTCTTCCCTTTCTCCATCCTGTTGGGATTTGGGGCATGCACACACCCAGTGTGCTTTCAAGTCTCTGGGGCTGGGATTCCAACTGCAGTTAGCCATGTATTTTCTGGCTTCCTTAACCACTAGGCTTTGGGGCCAGCCCAAGATTTCTGTTTGATGATTTTTTTTAATTATTTCAATCTCTCAGTTGATGCTGGATTGTCTGGAAAGTCAAGACACATTTTTGCATAGAAAACCAGAAAAATCTGTCCTGACTTTCCTGACCACCTACCTAGTGCATTTCTGAATTGTTTTTCTGTGTTTTCTTGATGTCCACGGAGCTTCCTTACCGCAGCTATTCCGAATTTGGTATCTCTGAGTTCACATACGCCTCCTTCTCCGGAGCGTCCCTGTGGTGCGGTCCTACTTCCCAACCTGGTGCTCGTGGTTGCACACCAGTGTCTGTGCACTGCGGAACTGACTTCCAGTCCGGCTCCGTGTACACCATGCTCCTTCATCGTGCCCCTCCAGCCAGCTGGGTAGCTAAGCAGATCAGCTGCTGTCAGATCGCGACTGTGGCAGCTGTGTCAGTACCAGAGGGCACCCTCATTCTGGGCCCTCTGTGAGTCTGTGAGGGTTCTGTTTCACTTGCCACTTTGGCCCATGTGGACCTGGGGAAGATCCAGGGACTGTGTGGGAATCTGGCCAGGGACTCGAGCTCAGAATCACGTCCTGTCGGCCCAGAGAGGCGTCCCTTCCAGTAGTTTCCTGTACTGGAGGGGCAGTTGCTTGTCTGAGGTGAGCAAGGATGTAGCAGAGACCGGGCCTCCTCGGGTTCCTCTGTGCGATGGAGGTTGGTGAACTGCCTGAGGTGCAGGCATGCTGTGAGTCCCCAGGCATTCCCCTGTCCACTCAGGAGTGCTCCCCAATTGTGAGGAGACGGCATGGAGCTGAGACTGGGCCCCCTCTGGATCTACCAGGGTCAGAAGCTGGCAGGCCCATCATGGAGGCTTAGGTGGTCAAGAGGGGCGGAAGCCAAGTTAGAGGGAAGCTTTCAGGTCGGCTTCTAGGACCAATATCGGTAGGCAGACTGGCTGTCTTCCGAGGCACTGCTGTGCGTCATTCCTCCTGCACCGTCAGGAGGATCATTTTGGCTTCAGGCTCATGATCAAATGTAGCTATAGCCAAGAGCTTTGGAAAATGGGGCTTTTGGATTTGAACCTGTGGACATGATTGGTAGGGCTGCTAGTCTGTATTCTCAAAATGACTTTGCTAGGTCTTGGGCTCCACCACTTCCTGACTGAATCCTGAAGCTCCCAAGGAGGTTTTTGCCTGTGGACGGATCCAGAATTCTTGCTGGAGTTGACTTCCTATCCTGCCATCTTGGTGATAGGTCTTTTTTTTTTTTTTTTTTAAGGTTTTTGCTATAGGGCATGAGCACTTGCCAGAAAGAGAGCGAGCGAAAAAGTGAGAAATCACCCCCCAGGGAGATGGCCATGCCACAATCCCTTCTTCTCCGTTCTCCTCTTGGGATCTTGGGCACGCATGCACAGGTGCCTGGTGTGAGTTTAAACCACTTGGTCTGGGACTTGAACCGCGGTCGACTACGTGGGAGTTCAGCGACAATAGACATTACGTCAACTGGTGTTTCCAGTGATATCTCTTGGTATTAATTCTTCTTTAAACTTGCCAGTGAAACCATCTGAGCCTGGGCTTTTATTTGTTTTGTCTTTTCTTTTTAAATTACTAATGCAATCTTTGTACCTGTTGTAGAGTCATTCAGATTGTCTGTTTTTTTCCTTGGGTTCATTAGCCCCGGTTGTTTGTGCGTTTCTAGGAATTTGTCCGTATCATCTTAGTTATCTAATTTATTGGCCTATAGTTCATAGTATCATCTTGCAGTTCTTTTGATTTCTGTCAGGTCTGTAGTAGTGTCCTCTTCCCTTGCACAGGCTACAGGTTCCTGTCTGGCACCGGGGCATGTCTGGAGACTTGGTCTGGGGGTACTGGCCTAGAGTCGGGGGCTGGAGGTGTGGGGGTCTTCCCAGTGCAGATAGTCTGTTCTGGAGAACATTCCATGTGCACTTGAGAAGAAAGTGTTTTCTGCTGCTTTTAGGACCCTTCATGTTTTTAAAAATTTTTATACAAGGGGTTGGCAGGTGGTGTGGTTGGGGTGCTAGATTCCCACATGGCTGAACATGGATCGCATCCTGGACCCGGTGGCTTGAGGATTACACCGTGTGTGCGCCCCAAATCCTGAGAGGAGAATGGAGGAGAGTGGATGGTGGTGGAGTCATCGCCCCTGAGGGGTGATTTCTTCTTCCCTTCCTCTGTCTTGCTCTGTTGTGAGCACACAAGCAAACAGAAATTCTATGGGGTTAACTTATCTCAGACCAACTCTGTCTGTAGCAGATAACGATTATCAATATGGACAACATATAAAGCCAACTATCTGAACATAGTGGGGCGTGGCCAAACGCAGACAAAGATCCTAGTCAGTTCTTGATAGAATAATGCATTTTTTTTTTTTTCTTAACTTTTTTTTTAACCCCTGCAGCAGGCCCCAGTTGTCATCATATGTAGTATATGCATGCCTGGAATGTGAATAGAAACCCACAGTCTCACTGGCTGGAGGGATTGGGTGATGGAGGTCAGAGCTGCTTCCCCAGTTTGCCTTTAAATTCTGCTCAAATCGCTGGCTGACTCCTGGACTACACCCGTATGCGCGGGTTGGACTTGAAGCAGCTTAGCCAATGCCAAAAGAACTACTGCTCCCTGTCGTAGAAGAATTCCATTTTGGAGTCTGAGGCCAGCCAACTTAACTGCCTGTTTAAACAGGAAATCAGCATTCTTTAGAAGAACATAGCAATCCATATTTTCTGACACTGTTACTGACACTGTCCAGGAGGCAATACAAAATTAGTAGAAAATGTTTACCAGCATAAACTGTAGAATGTTACTTGTAGAAAACCGTACCAGTACATCATGTTCAAACTACCTGGCCATCAAAGATTAATAATATATATGTACCTCCAAAGCAGCCAGAGCAAATTAATCCACTACACTCAGTGAAATAAAGATACAAATAATGGCTGGATTTTCATCAGATAGTTATGATCAGGTGATGATAGAATGACTTTTTTAAGAAGTATTTATTTCTTTTTATAATTACTATTTGCTATAGGGCATATATGCTCACCAGAGAGAGACAGATAGACAGACCGACAGACAGAGAGCAAGCTGCCAGGTCCAGGACTATGGTTGTCCATGTGGGAGTCCAGCGCCTTAACCACCATGCCACCTACCGACCCCTGGAGTGTTATGTTTTAAATGTAGACTGAAATGTTTTTACCTAAAAAAAAAAAAAAAAAAAACTTGGCATTTCTGTGTCAACCTCTTAATATATTTATAAAAATGAACAGGTCTGTAAAGGTCCAATGTCTAATAATTAGCATTAGATTAAATCAATAGTTTTCTAGTTTGCAAATTTAGAGACAGGTTGAGCATCTCTAATCTAAAAATCTGAAATCCTAAGTGCTCCAAAAGTCAAAGCTTTTTAAGTATTGACGTGATGCCACAAGTGGAAAATTCCAAACCTATCCATGTGACAGGTTGCTGTCAAAACACTGGAATATAAAAATAGTGTATTACTTCCAGCCTGTGTGTGTGTGTGTGTGTGTGTGTGTGTATAAATGTATATATATGTATATAAAAATGTATGGGTGTGTGTGTGTGTATATGGTACGTATGAAACATAAATTAACTTTGTGTTTAAACTTGAGTCCTATCTCCAAGATATCTCATTTTATATATATGAAAATATTTCACAATCCAAAATCCAGAGTACTTCTAGTCCCCAGCATTTCAGAAAAGGGATACTGAACCTGTATAGGTTAAGTGATTTGTCTAGGGTAACATAAGAATTGTTGTCCAAACAAGATCTCATGTTTGTTTAAGTCTCAAGAGCAAACGCTGGTGGCCAGCAGGTGGCATTGTGGTCAAGGTGTTGAATGCCCACATGGCAAACGGAGGTTTTAGTCTTAGACCTACTTGGTGGTTCGCTTGTGTGCTCTCTCTCTTTCTCCCCCTCTTTGCCGAGTACACATCTTCTCACCAGATTTTTTTTTTTTAAAGTAAAGATTAGAAAACGAAGTCTCTTAAAAAACATTAGTAAAAAGCAAACCCTCACCTTGCAACTGTCCTTCCGTTTGTGGACGTCGCCAGCACAGATCATGTCCGTCTTGACGACGGGCTCCAGCTCTGGCAGGAAGACGCCGACTGGGTTGTAGAGTCGTTCACAAGCCTGGCGATCGATGACGGGGACTTCTGCCTCCCGAAGGACAGAAGGGTAATTATCTGGAGAGGAAGACAGGAGGGAAAGGTCACCGCAGCCCAGAGAGATGCAGGGTCCCTATTCAGCAGTCTGCATGGGAACCCAAAAGCAGAATACAATTTTTCCTTCATATTCGCTTATGGAAGGATTTTTTCACATAGCTAAATCTGAAACAGTGGATCATTCAAAATTATTTCTATTTGCTTAGGTTTTCCTGTTGAGCCTGTGTTCTAAATAAAGAGTGATCCTGGGACCAGCAGTTAGCGTAATGGCTATGTCACTGGACTCCCACGTAGTTGACCGCAGTTCGCATCCCTGACCCGGTGGCTTAAAACTCACACCGGGTGCGTGTGCGTGCGTGCCCAAGATCCCAAGAGGAGAATGGAGGAGAAGGGATCGTGGCGTGGCCATCCCCCCTGAGGGGTGATTTCTTGCTTTCTATCTCTCTGTCTGTCTGTCTCTGTCTGGCAAGTGCATGTGCCCTATAGCAAAACACCTCTTAAAAAAAATTAAATAAAGAGTGATCCTTAACTTCTGGTTGAATAAAGATAGGAGTATCCTCTTTTATTTTATTTATTATTATTATTATTTTTGGAGAGATTTTGCTATAAGGTGCATGCATTTGCCAGAGAGACAGAAAGTGAGAAATTGTCCCCCCTGGGGGGGATGGCCACCCACAATCCCTTCTCTATTTTCCTCTCAGGATCTTTGGCATTCTTCATGGGGAGTCGTGTGATATAGCCAGTACGCCAGCTGCTGGTCCCTCTCTTTTATTTATTTATTTTTATTTTTTATTTTTATTTATTTATTTTTTTGAGAGATTTTTCCTATAGGGCGCGTGTGCTCACTAGAAAGAGATAGAAAGCAAGAAATCACCCCCCAGTGGGGTGGCCATGCCACAATCTCTTCTTGTCCATTCTCCTCTCGGGATTTTGGGCACGCATGCACTCATGTCTGGTGTGAGTTTAAGCCATTGGGTCCAGGACTTAAACCGCGGTCAACTACATTTGAGTCCAATTGAAATAGCCGCTACGCCAGCTGCTAGTCCCTCTCTTTTATTTTTAAATGCTAGAGCAAGCATATGCTCACCACAGAGAGACAGAGGACAAGAGAGGAGAAAGCACCCTCCCTAGTGGGGTGTGGTCATGCCTCACGCCTTTCTCCTCTGTCTGCCACCTTTTCAGGATTTGTGGCATGCACTCACATGGACCCAGCGTGCTTTCAAGGCACTGGGGCTGGGATTCAATCAGCAGTTGGCCATGTGGAATCCACCTCTCTTAACCAATAAGCTGCGGGGCCAGCCCAAGAGCCGCATTTCCTAAAGCATTCTAAACTTGATTCCCATCCTCCCGTTCCCAGATTAGTTCCTGCTTACTTGACCTGGGGAAGAGTTGACATATACTTGAAAAACATCCAAACAAACAAAACTAGACTGTCCAGACTTTAAATCAGGCTCACAGACCTGTTTGAGAAAGGTAATCAATGTTTAAATAGTTACAGCTCTTCTGGCTATAGCTAAAGTCTAAGCAGGACATAAGATAAATATTAAGATGTTTGATTTGAAGGCCCATAGCTAGTCTCATTAGGTTGATCTTGTTTCGTTGAAAAATATTTGCCATTGTGAGGATATGCCTAGCATATGAACGTTCAGGAGAGTGATTAAAACCACTGCTCTCTGCCCACTCACCTGAACTGTCCTTAACTTTGCCCCATCCTGTCACCCAGCAAGAGGCTGGAATTGTCAGCTGCTTGGCGATACCGGGCAAGCAGATGGGTAGGATGAAAGAAGTGAAGGTGACCTTGGAGGAGAGTTTCAACAAGGCAATGTCCGCGGTTATATTTCGGTGTTTGGGATGGAAGACGATTTTGGACACAAAGTACTCCGCGCCTTTTTTTGAGTATTCAGTGTTAATCGATCCCAGCCACACGCTATACGAAAAAGCATTCCAGGTCCTAAAGGGAGAAGGAAGAGAGTAAAAGTGAGACATGCCCGTGGCCGAGCGCTGGGTCAGAACACCTGTCTGCGCGGCGTTTCCCCAGGCAGGAAGGCAGGGCAGCAGGCTGGAGATACCACTTCCACATGGGCTCTCCGTAGGGCTCCGCGCCACATGGCACCAGGCATCCCGTGCAGCAGTGGCCCCGAGAGAGCGCTCGGATTGCGTCTGACCCAACAGTCTTCAGACAAAACCCCGACTGATATGTATGAGAAGTAATTTGGCAAAAAGGAAGGAAAGTTTCTTACGCAGGGCTTGTCCCTTTCGCTTCTTTTCTGACCTCTGCATCTTACCCCTAGTCGTTCCTAGTTTGAGAGTCCAAGGAGACCTGCGTTTCTTTTTGCTTCTTTTTGCCCTAGTTGTCCTACCACTTGTGTTATTGGCTGTTGGTTTGTTCATGAGGCCTTTCAAATACCAGCTGAGGACCTGTGTGCACTAGCTACCACCGGGAGTACTCACTTTTTCTTTCTTTTCTTTTTTTCTTTTTTGGAGAGGTTTTTGCTATAGGGTGCGTGCACTTGCCAGAAAGAGACAGACAGAAAGCGAGAAATCACTCCCTGGGGGGATGGCCATGCTGCAATCTCTTCTCCTCCGTTCTCCTTTCGGGATCTTGGGCACGCATGCACACACACCCAGCGTGAGTTTAAGTCACCGGGTCCAGGACTCGAACCACGGTTGACCGCATGGGAGTCCAGCGACATAGCTATTACGCCAACTGCTGGTCCCTAGAACTACTCACTTTTGAATGCAGTGTTCTGCTGTCAGAATCCACCTGTCACTGATGAGGGCCCCGCCACAGACAGCGGTCTGGTCCAAGAGGAGGCTGGCCTGCCAAGGCCAGCGCCCCACCTCGGCCTCCTGACCGCCCACAATGCGGCTTGAGTAGACTGGTCGCCCACACACTAGAGGAGAAGAGAAAGGGAAACGGGAAAAGTCTGGGAGTCTTGGTCTTTTGGACCCCATCTTATCATCCTCAAACTCCCCTCCATTCCAAGAGCTTGGGCGCCCCCATTTTCAGACCCAATCCCATTCCTTTACCAAACCCAGCAGCCCTGGGCCTTGAAGAAGACCACTCACCTGATCGCAGGTCTGTCTCTTTGGGACAAGAGCTTGGGCAAGTCTCTAAGAAAGACACATGGTATCATTAGTAGATAGCAACATAGCTTAGGTCCAGTCCCTGACTAGGAAGGCTTTATGATATTCAAATTTCCCAGATGGGTGTTAAAGGCCTAAACCTACAGGTGTCCGCCCGGGCACTGTTGATCCTTGCCTGGCTTCTTTAGCGATACGAGAAACATAATTGAACTTTTACGGGATGATCGAAGGCCACCGTCAGGAATATCGGGTGTTTTTAGGTTGTAAATACAAGGACGCCTTCAGCTCTTTGGAGGTTTGTGGGCTGTTTACGTGTGTGGTGGTTTTATCCATTCGATCGGCATTGTGCAGTATTTATGGATCTTCTTTGCTCCCCGTTCCTTTTCGCTACCCTCAGCGTTCTTGTTTTAAGTCACGGTGGGCCAGAAAACGAAATGAGCAACTCATGCCTAAAATCATTGACCGGTATTTGCACGTTGGTTCTCTGGGCTTGAAATGCTCTTTTCCCACACCCTGGCTGCTGACGGACTCCTCTCCGTTTTGCTCCAGTGACTCCTGGGGAAGCCCTCCTGGACTGCCCTAGTTAAAGTTGTAACTTGCTTCCTAAGGCTGCACTGTGGTATTTATTACTTTGTAACATCCTTTACCATTTACATAATTCCCCTGTGCATTGCGAGTCCCGGGACACAGGGGTTTTTTGTTTTGTTTATCGCTGTAGCAAACTCAAAGCGCTGGAATGATGCCAGGCGCAGTACCCTCTCAGGACTTCCTCAGGCCACTCTACTCTGAGTAACGTCCTCTTTCTGCGTGATGCCGTCTCATTTCAGAGATCTCTGCCTCTCCCCCCAACCCCACTCTAGGGACTCACCCAGCAGCAGGAACAGCCAGAAGGCGCGGCCTGCAGGGCCCATGGCTCTGCCCCCAAGCTCAGCACTTCCTGCTTCCTGGACTCAGGCTCCCAGGGACAGGCCAACTGGGGAACAGCCAGAAAAGGGGGGCAGGACCAGCTTCTCCTCCCAGAGGGAGTCCTCTGCCTCACCCTCTGCTGTCCCTGGGGCTCACCCCTGACCAGGGACTTAGCCTTCAGAAGAGCAGCAGCAGGAGCCCTGGGGAGGAGCTGGGGCCTGAGGCGCCCCCTGTTGTCCGGGGAGAGCAGAGTGTCCGGGTTCCTGCAGTGGGTGGGGGATGGGAGGTGGGAAGGGGCCCCTGTGGTAGCAGGTTGAGGGCCCTGGAAGGAACAGCAGGGGCCTTTCTCTAGCAAGGAAGTGGACATGGTCAGTATTCCTCAAAGGCGAGGCACAGGAAAGAGGAGATGAACCTAGCATCTGGTTAGTTCTATTTTGTTGGTTCGATTCCGTCTGTCTGGCAGTGTTAGCCATAGACTATATAAAGGCTCCCCACCACCCCCAGCCATGGCGTTGCTTTCCAAAGTTTTCATTACCCGAGGTCAACTGGGAGCTGGAAGTATTAAACAGGAACTCCAGAAAGAATCCCTAAGTTCTAACCCCCGCACCATTCTGCGTAGTGTGATGAAATCTCGTTTGATCCTACTGCCCCGGGGACGGGAGGCATTTCTTTGTCCGGCACACGCGATCCACTCCTTGTCACTTAGCAGCTGTCTCGGGGGGCAGATCAGCTCTAATGGAATTGCAGTGCTAGTGTTTGGGGAACCCTTTTTTTTTTTTTTTTTTTTTTTAAGAGAAATTTTTGCTGTAAGGGTGTGTGTGCTCACTAGAGAGGCAGAGAGACAGAAAGCGAGAAATCACACACACACACACACACACACACACACTTCCAACCCACAGGGAGGGTGACGGCCATGCTGAAATCCCTTCTCGTTATACTCTCCTGTCAGGATTTTGGGCACACATGCACAAGGCCCAGCGTGAGTTTTAAGCCACCGAATCCGGGACTCAAGCCATGGTCCACTATGGGGGAGTCCAGCAACATAACCGTTATGCCGTCTGCTGGTCCCCAGGTAGCCCTTATTTTATTTAACACTGGCCCCGAAGCTCAGGAGGAGGAGTGCTAGCATCTTCATTAGTTGTCCTTTTTTATTAGTGGCTGTTGCTATTAATTTCTTCCTGTTCCCTGTTCATTAAACTTTTATCACACGTGTGTTAAATATACTGTCCGTGGTTGCAGGCATCCACTGGGGGTCTCTGAATGTATTCCCTTGCAGAACAGGGGGGCCTGTTCTACAAGTTAGATTTCCTGGGAAATTAGACTCGAAGGCAGAGCTTTGTATACGGGAAGTTTATTGGAACGTGGTCTAAGGATCGGCCCTCCTCGTGAGGAGCAGGGAAGAGCAGGATTTGGGCAGGGAGGGAGTGGAGCTACGATGAATTTGCTGCAGAGGTGCAGGTCTCCCTGGAGCTGAGGTGGCCTTCAGAGATGTCCTGAACTGCAGGAAGGAAGACGGGTTCTGGACGGCTTCATTGTTGGATGCAGGCTACCCCCTGGAGGGGACGTTGCTGTGGGTGTGGTGGCTTGCCCACGGTTCTGGGGATATGACTTAGCTGTGTTTGGTCAGCAGCGAGCACTTCTGGTGGACAGAGTAATCAACGCCTCTGTTCTGAAGTGGGGTCTGGGGGCACATACAGCCACAGAAATCTCTGTGCCTTGGGTTTTCGGTACCAATTGTGGGGTACTAGGTCTGTGGAGGCAGAACTCGGTGAACTGTGAAAGTGTCCTGTTGCTCTCCTGTAGCTTAGATCATTGGGGGGCTTGACGAAACAGATGATTCGTTAAACAACAGACCAGAAAGCGTAGCTGTTTTGATAAAGATTATTCAGTATCAGGCAGCAGAGATCCAACTCAAGCTAGTTTACATCAAGAGATTATTTATATATTTTTCTTTTTTGGAGAGGTTTTTGCTGTATGGCATGTGCACTCACCAGAAAGACAGAGAGACAGAAAGCGAGAGATCACCCTGCAGGGAGGGGTGGCCATGCCACAATCCCTTCTCCTCCATTCTCCTCTCGGGATCTTGGGCACGCACGCACATGCGCCTGGCGTGAGTTTAAGCCACCAGGTCTGGGACTCAAACCGCAGTCGACTACATGGGAGTCCAGAGACATAGCCATTACGCCAACTGCTGGTCCTGTCATCAAGAGATGATTTTAAAGATAATGTTTCAGGCTGACTTGTGTCTCCCCCAACATTCATATCTTAAAGTCCTGACCCCTTCAGATCTCAGAACCTGACTGTATACAGAGATAAGGTCTTGAAGGAGATAATTAAGTTAAAACGTGGTCATTAACGTGGGCCCTCACCTAGTGTGAATGGCGTCTTTATTAGGAGAGGAAACTGGGACACGGGCTTGTACAGAGAAAGAAGATGGCTGTCTACAAGCCAGAGAGGCCTGGCACGCAGCCTTCCCTCCTGGCCCTCAGTGGGAACCAGCCCTGCAGGGACCATGCTGTTTGACTTCCAGCCTTTAGAACCATGAGAAATAGATGGGTTTAAGCCACCCAACCTACAGAACTTCGCTGCGGAGCTCTAGCACATGGACGCAGACATTACAGGGTGGCGAGGAGAACGAGGTAGCCAGGCCAGCTGAGCTGTCACAGAACAGCCCTGGAGGCCAGCGCTCAGAGGGAACCCTAGAGCTCAGGGTCTGCACCTGACTCCCTGCTGTTAACACGGCTCAGCCTCATTCTGAGTCGTTTCTTTGAACCCCATTCTAAAAATTGTGCAACTTCCCCCTTATTTTTGGGTGAAAATTCTCAAGAAGTCTTACTTGGTACAGATTAGCTTTGTTAACCAGGTCGTGGGTTCACGGCTGTAGATTCATTATCTTTGGGGTAAGTGCCCTTTTGTGGAATGGGAACAGGTGGAATGTGGCCAGCTAGGCCACAGGGATTGCTGTGTGTCGGGATGGTAGCCACAGGGGCACAGCGGTAACCCAACCCACAGCTGCGCTGAAGCCACCTGGGAATGTTCCGGGTTCATGTCCTGTGGCCATAGGTGGGTGAAGCTGGTAGTGGATTACCATGTGAAGACAGTGAGGATGCCTGCGCCTCTCTCTCTCTCTCTCTCTCTCTCTCTCTCTCTGTCTCTCTCTCTCATGGAAGAAATAAACTTAAAAAAATTTACATCTTAATTTTTTTTTATTGCAGAAGGCACGTGCACTCACAGGGTGGGGTAGTGGGGAAGAGAGAAAATGCTCCCGCAATGGGGTGTGGTCACACCACAATCCTTTCTCCTCTAATTTGCTGCCCCATCAGAATTTGGGCCATGTACCCACAGGCCTCCAGCATGTTTTCAAGCCACTGGGGCCAGGACTCTCTGGAAGTCGGCCATGTGGGACCTGGCTCCCAATGCGCTGTGCTTACCACTGCACTACGGAACCAGCCCAAGGTCTTAACCTCTTTACACAGCAGTAAAATATAGTGCCCTGAGAGTCCTTTCCACGTGGGAAGGCTTTTAGTGAAGGCCGGCGATAGGCGTGTACCCATGTTCAGGACACCTGAGGCTGGGAGTGGGTTGCAGCATCGGGGCCATGTTGGAAGTGTTGTCTGTCTCTCTCTTGCCCATGAAAGAAATAAGTTTAAAAACATTTTAGAAGTTGTTAAACTATGTTGGCCTGGGGACCAGCAGTTGGCATAATAACTATGTCGCGGACTCCCATGTAGTCGACCACGGTTCAAGTCCTGGACCCAGTGGCTTAAACTCACACTGGGCGCGTGTGCATGCGTGCCCAAGATCCCGGGAGGAGAATGGAGGAGAAGGGAGTGTGCGTGGCCATGGGTGACTTCTGTTGCTCTGTCTGTCTGTCTGGCGAGCGCCCTATAGCAAAAACCTCTCAAAAAACAAACAAAACAGTGTGTTGGCCTGAAAAGGCCTCCATACTCCTGCTTTAATTTTTTTTTTTTTTTGGAGAGATTTTCACTGTAGGGCGCGTGCGCTCGCCAGACAGAGACATAGAGACAGAAAGCGAGAAATCACCCCCCAGGGGGGATGGTCACGCCGCAATCCCTTCTCCTCCATTCTCCTCTCGGGATCTTGGGCACGCACGCACACGCGCCCGGCGTGAGTTTTAAGCCACCGGGTCCGGGACGTGAACCGCGGTCGACTACGTGGGAGTCCAGCGACATAGCCATTACGCTAACTGCTGGTTCCCTCCTGCTTTAATTTTCATAAGCAAACCACAACTTCACCTGGAAGCTAGCTTCCTTAGCAGGTTGCTAAGTGACAGCCAATCACAGCAGCAGCTCTTCAGTCAGTGCACAGCCCCCCCTTTCCGCTGTGTCAACACAGGCAAACAAAGCTGTAACCAATCCAGTTGTTTCCCTACCCTCACTTCTGTGTGTGTTGTTGTTTTTAATGTCATTTTCCCTTCCTGCACACATTGCTTTCTCTTTCCCACGCATAAATACCGGTCAACCCTGAGGCTACCTCGAGTTCCTCGGAAGCCATTGGGGGGGACTGCCCAGTGCAAACAGGTTTTGCTCAGTTAAACTCCACTAAATTAAATTGTCTAAAGCTTTTCTTTTAACAAAGTTAACACTAAATAAAGACCAGTTTTCTGTTAACTTGCTCACTGACTGCCAGACTATGAATTCTTACCAAATTCAGATTTTTAATATACGTTTCTTCATTTATGTCTGTTTAATGGGGATAAAAATCTCCTACTACTATAACATTTTTAGTAGCTTCACTGTATTCCTTAATGATTTATGCAGCCTATGTTTATTTTTTATTTTTTGTGGTTTGTACGTTCACTCTGGTTTTGTGGTTTTGACATTCACTCATGCTGTGGTTTCATCATGATGTAATGGTTCTCCTAGCAGTATTCATCTTAGTTTTTTTCTGAAGTTAATAATGCAACCTGCAGGTTCGTCCTCATTTTATTGAAGATAAAGATTTTTATTCACCTCACAACTGTATATGGTGGGCCTTCAAAAGT